TCTCTCTGGGCATATTATTGGTGAATATTATTTGAGGAACCCCACTTCCCACCAGCTGGGAGACTGGGCTCTTTTTTTTTTTTTCTTTTTTCCGAGTGTGTGATTCAAAGTGGGGTAGGGAGGTCATGAGAAAGAAAGTAACATAGGTTGAGCACCTGCCTGGTCCCTTATATAAGACATCTCATTCCATCTTCACAACAACCTAAAATGTAGAGATTATAATTCCCATTTTATAGGTGAAGGTACTGATGTCCAGAGGTCACTTAAAGTCAAATAGCTGACATGTAAGGTCGTGGTGTTAGAATCTCACCAACATATGACTCCCAAATCCATGTTCTCTCTACCCAGGGGGCTTGACTGTATCACACAGAAACCTGGATCTTTGTTTTTTTTTCCATTCCTTGTGATATATTAGATTTATTCCCTAACCCCACAAACATGCTGGGATTCTGGCGATTTTTACATGCCCATTTACCGGGGGGGTACACTTAACATCATAAAAGTGCAAATAACTCCCTCAAGTCTTTGCTGTGACCAAATTTGAACTCACTCCACCTGATGTCCACCTGCCTCATCAGACTGTAATCATAATGGTAAGGACCATGTTTGTCTTATTCATCACTCCATCTCTCCTAGTGCCTACCATAGGGCCTGCCATGTGGTAGATACTCAATATGTGTTGACTGAATGTATGATGAGGACAGAAGGAGAAGACTCTGTAAAACAAGATAAGAGAATCCGAGAAAAAGATTTAAAAGGCCAACATTTAATTTAAAGAAGGAGAAGAGAGGTAGCTAGGAAGAGACTGAGAGACAGCAAGATAAGAAAACTCAGCACAAACAAGCAAGATAAAAATAGCCTCTTGCCACTGTCCTTTTAAAATTACTTGCTATATTTGAGCCTAAGTGACAAGTGAAATCTCCTCTGTAATTTCCCATGTGTTCAGCTTAATGAATTTCTGGCAAATGGTTTCAGCATTGGAGGGCCAATTTGGACATTGTGGGGGTGGAGTTGGTGAGAAAATGAAGGGTATGGAAATAGACTAATTGAGTCTAGAAACCAAATGAAGAGGTGATTGGAGGCATGTGAGGAGGCAGCCAACTCTTGGAACTTGCTCAACATCAAGAAGGACTGGGAATTGGTCTTGCTCTAGCTGATGTCATTATGATGTTTCCCTACATGCTATAGAAGAAGTCCAGAATCCCAAAATGCCTTGCAACGATTCTTTCTGTCACACTGTCTATCTCCTAAAGAGTTCTTTATATAAACAGCATTATATTAATGATTTAACTTCTGCCACTGGAATGAATAAAGAGACTCTGTCTCTTTCACGTCCATAAGTCTTACACACAGTAGGTATACCATAAATGTTGAACCAAATCATTATGAGGGAGGGAAGTTAGGTAGTGCAAGGATGGGAATGCACAGTCTACTCCTTTGCTTCTGTTCATGCTGCCCACTCAAATGCATTAACTTCTCCGTATAGTGAGAAAGGAGCTCCGAGGGGCCATAAGACCCAGAATAAAAAGTCCTTTTTAAACCTTAAAATTGGCAACGACCATGCAGACCACAATTTTAATCAGAACTGCATATCTTTCAGGTCGCCTAATATGTTTTTCATTCTTGTTTTAATAGCTTTTTTGGTATGGAAGTCATATACCATACAATTCACCCATTTAAAGTATAAAATTCAGTGGTTTTTATTATATTCACAGATATGTACAACCATCACAATTTTAGAATATTTCATCATCACCTCAAAAAGAAACCTAGAACCTTGATCTTTCACTCCTCTCCCCTTCAGGCCTGAGCAGCCCTTAATCTATTTTCTGTCTCTACAGATTTTCCTATTCTGGACTTCTGTATGAATGGAATCAAACAATATATGGTCTGGCTTCTTTAACTTAATGTAACATTTTCAAGGTTCATTCACGTTGTAGCATTCATTCCTTTTATGACCAAGTAATATTCCACTGTATGGATATCCCACATTTTATTTATCCATTTGTCAGTTAATGGACATTTGGGCTATTTCAACCTTTTATCTCTTATGAATAATGCTGCTACGAAAATCTGTGTACAAGTTTTTGTGTGGATATATATTTTCATTTTCTGGGGTATATACCTAGGAGTGGAATTGCTGAATCATAAAGTAACTCTATGGTTAATCATTTGTAGAACTGCCAGACTGTTTTTCAAAGCAGTTGCACAATTTTACATTCCCACCAGAAGCGTATGAGGAGTCCAATTTCTGTATGTCCTTGCCAATTCAACTATGCTTTTGAGAAATAACAAGGACAACTACAGGGCCCCACTCTAATCTGGATAGCTATTACAGAGAAGCAGCAGGAGGAGTAGAGTACAGGGATGAAGGAGGGATCCCTCTTCAACTCTAAGCTCTTAGGATCATCCAGAGGGAATGCTGCCATCTCTAGTACTCTCCCTGACTCCCCCAGCTAGGTTAGCTGTCCTCTGACATCTGCCCAGGGATACCTAGACTATTTGTCATTTTCCCCCCACTAAATTGTAAGCTTTAGGTAAGCAGAGATCTCTATTGCTCTGACTTTATCTGAAGCACCTGCACAGGGTCTGGCAAATGGTAGATGTTCAGTAAATGCTGGTTGACTGACTGACTGAATATATGATTGAACATTTCTCTACTGGTGGTTCCTGTCCAGGGAGGAGAGGAAAGGGATCAATCTCAAGGGCAAAAGGCTTCAAGAAGGGAAGCAAGGAGAGTATAGACAGAGGAGAGAGGGAAAGGCACGCAAGAAGTTTGGGGACCTAGTGTCCCTTAGGGCTAGATCCGATCATGAGGTCAAACTCAAAGCTAATGAACCTACCCTAATCCTTTGTCTCTCATCTGGCTGCATTTTTTTTTTCCTAGAAATTTTCCCTTTTCTTTTTTTGTTATTATTCCTAACAATTTTGTCTTTGCAAGAATAAGAAACATTAAATAAAAATGTGGAAGGAAAAAAAAAAGAATAACACAGAAACACAGTAGAAAAGTAGTTGCTATGACAGGTAAAAGACCATGTCAATCAACTCACCAAAATGAATTCAGAATTTATTTTATTTTTTTTTTTTAAAGATTTTTATTTATTTATTCATGAGAGACAGAGAGAGAGGCAGAGGCAGAGGGAGAAGCAGGGTCCCTGCAGAGCAGGGAGCCTGATGCGGGACTCGATCCCAGGACCCTGAGATCATGACCTGAGCCGAAGGCAGACGCTTAATGGACTGAGCCACCCAGGCGTCCCTGAATTCAGAATTTAAAAGGTTAGAGGCTAAGAAGGTTGACTATGAAGAATTTTTTAACTAGGAAATGCAGAAATCATAATCTAGGTTTTCCTCCGTAGGACACTGAATGCCCTATACCTAAAAAAGTTTACATTTTCAATGACATGACAACATGGCCCACCACTCAGCCTTACTCATAATGGTTGGCCTTCTTTCCACACAAATCCTGCCTCCTACCTGACTAATCTATGAATCCAGTAGTCACCAGGTCATTGGTCCTTCTCTCCCCAAAGGCCCTGTATTTCTCTAGCCTCAATTACTTCCTGTCTCTTCCCGGAAAGCACACATGCACATATTCACACAAACCTGACCTTTCCTTTTCCTGAATCCTCAGGATAGCTCTCCTTCTCCATTTTGTGTGTTTAGAAGAAAAGAAAGCAAAATATGTGAGATGTCAATGCAATTTCGCCTTTAGCAGAGCTCCACGGGACAATTACCCACCCAATCTGCAGGGTTTTATAGCTCTCATAACCCTCTTTTATGAACACACTGTGACAGCCGGATGCAGGCATTGATTATGGCAGCAGTCTTCATCCACATTCCTATTTAACTGCAAAGCAGAGCTCCTGCCTACCAGCTCAGCACTGCTCATGTGACTTTTTTAATTACTGCATTTATGTAAGCCTTTTTCCAACCACAGCCTGTGTCCGACTCCATCAAAACTGGAGGAATTGTGCTTACTACTTCTGTCTCTCTCTCGCCTTAGAGCCTAGTGTCTGTCTCTAGCCGGAATCAATTTTGCACTCTGGCCTTTCTCAGCAGAGGTCTGTGAGGAATGCGGTGCGCAGGAAACACATTTCCTCTCATTATGACAGCTGAGGGAAGATAATAAAACATGTTGGCAGATGCCAAGGGCAGTGGCTGATTCCTAGGGGCTTGCCTGGCAAAGGTGCCAGGTGCTATAGATGAGCAGACAGGATAGGCTGCCATGGGGGCTAGGAGAGAGGGGCTCCAGCTTTACCAACTATTCAGCAGGACAGAATCGTACTGACTCTAGCTAATGGGAGAAGTTTTAGTGTTCATAAGAAATGCTGATAACCTGGTGGGCAATCTGTCTAAACTCAAGATGTGCCTCCTTGGCTGACTGTGCCACGGTGCAAGGCAACTCTGGCAGAGAGAAAGCCAGTATTCTTTAGGGACTGCAACTCAACTAAGGATGCCACTGCAGGGCATCAGGGACGCTGACCCACAGGGTTAGGCTGTAGGAGTGCCAGGCATAATCTACCCGAAAATCTTCTGGAGAGAACCCGAAAACTAAGGTGACCTGTGTGGGTGGGCGAGCCATCAGCCCAGGGACAACCCTACTGGAGAAAGCCTGAGAGATCTGAGCGGGAGGTGGAAAAAGCGTGGGCTGCACCAGCAGGAACCCAAAGGCGCCACTCGTGCGACAGGATCCGGCATCCGGCGGGCTCTCGGTGTGGGCAGGCAGAAAGCACGGCCCCCCTTAGGACACACCAAGTTCAGTCTTTAGCACCTCCAAACCCAACGCCCCCTCCCATCGGTAAGTAACAAACGGGATGGGGGTCAAATAAGTGTAGCCCTCGTGCAGATTCCTGCCCTTCCTATTGTGAGGTGCTAGCTTCTCTAAGTAAGCTCACCTCTGCCACGGCTCCTGCATTTTTCTAACCCGGACTTTCCTGGGCGGGGCTTCCGGGCCCCGCCCACTAAGGGCCTGCTCCGTATCCGCCCCGGGGCGGGGCCCCCCTCGGTTTCAGGCTGTCCTTTTCCTTGCGGCCTCTGCTCCGGCGGGAGCGCCCCGGCGGAGCTCCCGACACGTGCGGGTGAGTTAAGGGCCAAGTGGGGAGAAGCTTGGGAGGTTTACTAGTTCGGGGAGAGAGGCAGCTGTGGGGAGGCTTCTTCTGAGGCACGGGACGAATTTGGGGTTCGTTCCATCATGACCCCGGGTTTGGAGGGCATCTAAAAGAGTCGCTGCGAGAGTGTAGCCCTAGAGTCGCCCCCTGTTTTCTACCATCCCTCTTGTCCCTGGAGAGTCACCTAGATCTGGTCTGAGCGAGTCTCGTTTCCCAGGCTCCTGGCGCCGGGGCCAGGAGCTGGGGAAGATTTGTGATGAGCACGTGTCCGGGTGGAGCTCGGTCAGGTCTTTCAAGCCCCTGAAAGGGGCAGGCTTTCTTAAGATTTCGTTTTTAGACCTCAACAATGGGCCCCCTCTATTTTACTTTTTCTCTCAATTGTTTGGAGTTTGTTAAGAGTGAAATTAGAGCATGGCTGGAAAAAGGTATTGTCTTAGATACCCTAATCTTACCTAAATAAGGTAAATTACAGTGGTGAATGGGTAGGAATATTTATTAACATTCTTGCAAACATTTTGGTTACTGCTTTCAACCAATAGTTGAGGTCGTTGGCAGGAATGGCAGCTTGTTTCCAGTTCCTTTCATACCATTATCACATCGGATTTCTCTGAAGTACTGCTTTATTGTTCTTCAAAAGGTCTCATAATCCACATCCTCTCCAATCTAGTTTTAACCAGCCTTTCCGATTTTCCCTGCCCATTGCTCTCCCAAGGTAGCTTTCCCACTTCTATTCCCCCTATTCATCATCTCCTTGCCTGGAATGTAGCTCTTGATAACAGGAAGTGTTTATTGACCACATACTTTATACCAGATATTCTTGGGCTTAATTTGTATTATTTTTTGGTCTAATAACCAGCTCATGTACAGAGTACTATTGATAACATTCCCATTTTACAAATGAGACTGAGAGGTACGGAGAGGTTACTTGTTCACTGTTACTTAGCTGTTAAGTGATAGAGTCAAGCGTCCTTCTACTTGTTGACTAGATCATTAATATGCCGCTGTTGAGGGGCCCCTGGCTGGCTCAGTCGCTCATCAAGAGCATGCAACTCTTGATCTCAGGGTTGTAAGTGCGAGCCCCATGTTGGGTGTAAATTACTTAAAAATAAAATGTTAAAAAAAAATGCTCCGGTTGAGTTGCTGTGGCCCATGGCTAACAGATGACGTGAGAAAATAAAGCTACCCAAGGAAAAGCTTTTTGTTTTATTGCCTATTTCTATGACTCAGAAATAATTTATGGGGTTTTTGCGGGCAGAGGTCTTGAACTTCACGTTAGTGTTCACTACTGTTGGCTGACTCTAACCTGGAGTGCTTTGATTGCAGAGGGGACAGCCGTGGGCTTTGGACAGAGGCAGCCCCAGGTGAGTGCAACTTCATTAGCCTGCCTTCGGCCCCAGCTGTAGGCAGCTGCCTAGGTTGCTGTGTACCTAGGCAAGTGTTACACTGCTGGGAGAACAGCAGCCGATAGCTGGTTGGCATTCTGGGCCTGGTTCATGCCAACTCTGTTGTTAACTATACCAGGATGCCAGCATAATTGTTTATTCATTAAGGTTAAATCTGTAAGGGCATGACTTTGCAGGGAGAAACCTAAAAATCCAAATCTTTTTGAGTGGTTCTTGTTCAACAGGTTTGGCTAGTATGAAGTTACTTGAATCATACCTTGGAAACAGAACAAAGGTAATCGAGCCATGAGGAATGTAGTAGAGGGAGAAAGTCACCTTTTTATTTTTTGAGTGCCTACCAAGTGCTCCAAAGAGTCAATGGGATTTTTGCAATTTTTCACTGAAATCAAAGTGCCTGGCCCCCATTCCTGCACCATAGAAAGCTAGTCATGCTGATCCCTTTGTAGGGGGTTTCATAGATGCAGTTACCTATAGGAATGCCTGATTAGGGAAATGTTGATGTGAATTTGCTTTAAAATTAGGGCATTCTTCTCTAGGTCTTTAATAAAATATAAAAATAACCAATAGATTGAGAAGCTCTAGGCAGTAGGCTTAGCTACAACCATACTAATTTCTGCTTTAGGCTGACACTATATTTTTGTTGGTTTCTTACTGATTTTCAGGAGTGAACAGAGTTGTTGCCCCTTTGGAGCAGTAAATACTGGGTCCCTTTTTGTAGTGATTTTGTTTTGCAGTCAGGGTGATGCTGGAGATTGTCCAATAGGGCTGACTTAGTTGTTGCTTCTGTGAAGTGACAGCCTAGATTGCACAGGAGGAACTGGTGAGGATGTTAGGAGGCATGGGAGTTATTTATAAAAGCTAGCTTTGTTATGTCAATTGGCTTTCCCTGAAAAGGGTTAACTTAGCTAAATGTTGAGTGCTTTGTGTGAATACCTCAGATGACTTAGGAGTCACGCAATCTAGAGGGTTTGGGGAAACGGTTAGCTTTAATGGTAATTATAGGCAAGAAAAAGACAATGGGAAATAAAATAATTCTGGAGGGTATTGAAAATAGAGTAAATCATAAATGGCAGACAGCATTGTTTCCATTTCTACAGAAAAGCAGCTTCAGGAGCTACTGTTTTAGTCTGGGATGTTGAACGATGAAATCTTTTTCTTTTTCAGGATGACTTGAAAGTGGGGCATCCTGGGTCCTCCTAAAGAGAGAAAATTAGTGGCTGGTCAACAGTCTGTAATGGCATTCTCAGGTAAATGTCCCTATTCATTCCAACAGTGACTGCCTCCTGTGTGGCAGGCCTGTTTGCTGGTTGGTAACCATCAGGAAGTAGCGGGGAGGCAAAATCACCGTTTTTGCGCCGCTGCCCCCCCCCCGCCGCCCAAACAAGTTCGGCCTCTGAGCTGTGAAAGGCTAAGTGGGATTTTGGTGGTTATGATCTGAAGTCATGTAGGATCTCTGAGATTATCTGTACCATTCCATCTGAGGAATGTAAAAGGAGATTGTAAAGTCCCGGATAACAAGGATGGTGTATCTTGTGTGTTCACTGCTAGATCCCAATCATAGTGCCTGGCACATAGCAGGAATTCCCTGAATGTTGGACAGAATGACTGAAGGCATGGGAAAGGGGTTCCTGTTTCCTATTTGTTTAAAGGGCTTGGCAGCAAAGTCTGCCATCAGTGCTTCCAGGCTTCTGGTTTGTAGTCAACATTGAATTCATGAGGATACCTGTATCCCTATCTTCTACTTGGGGTGTCTGGGTATCTGAAACAAAGAAAGCTGTTTTGGGAATCACCCAGCTGTTGTCAGCTATCCAGGCTAGTATGATGCCTTGGATGGTGTTACACTGTTGGAAGAGCAAATGCGGCCTTTATTGAGGTCTGGCTCCAAGCACTGTTTTGGTGTTGTGGCTAAGTACTCTTGGGCAGCGTTTTGCACCTGTGAGAGTGGAGTAACTCCTCCTGTGGAGTTGGTCCTAGTCTGGGTGCAAACAGTTTTGTTTGTTTGTTTGTTTGTTTGTTTGTTTTTTGAGGAAAGGACCCTATCTTAGGGATAGCTTGTCATTCCTTTCCTCTTTGAATCCTAGATGCCTTTACCCGAGTGAGAAATCTGCCTCCATCAGGACCTCAGATGTCTGATAACCCTATGTGACATCAGGATAGGTAATGTATATAGTCCCTTTTGTCGTGTAGGTTCTCATGAACTTGTTTCAGCTCAGATGGGTGGTGTGAAATAATAGAAAAAATACATATTGGCCTCTGCTCCCATCTTGGCACAGAGTTCTCAGAACTCTTAAAATTCCCTAAGTGATAAGAACAGTAGGAGCATCTTTTGTTTTAATATTTGGTCTTTGATTCTGATTCCTGACACTGAGCTCCTAAACCCAGGAATTTCCTGGGTGATTGGAATGTCTTGTTCTAATGAGGCTGGTCACCAGAAAGGCCAAGCAATGATTAGAAGCTTAGAAGTTTCAGCCCCACCTGCATTCTTCAGAAAAGGGAAAGGGGCTGGAAATGGAGTTAATAATTGATCATTCCCACATGATGAAGCCTCCAAAAAATCCCAGTAGTGTGGAGTTGAGAGAACTTCTAAGTGGTGAACACTTGGAGGGGCTAGGAGAGTAGTGCACCCAGAGAAGGCGTGGAAGCTCGATGTCCCTTTTCATATAGCCTTGCCCTGTGCATCTCCCATCTGGATGTTTATAGCCTGTCTCATATCCTTTTAAAATAAACTGGTAAACAGTAATGAAACCATTTTCCTGAGTTCTGAGACTACTCTAGCGAATTAATCAAACCTGAGGGGGGTTTGTGGGAACCTCTGATTTATATCAGAAACTGGTCAGAAGCACTGGTAACAACCTGGACTTGTGATTGGCATCTGCAGTGAGGGAGGAGCAGTCTTGTTGGACTGTGCCCTTAACCTGTGGGGTCTGATGATACTCCAGGTGTATAGTGTCAGAACTGAGTGAAACTGTAGGACACCCAGCTGGTGACACAGACTTGCTTGGTGTGGGGGGAAAACCCACACACATCTGGTGTCAGAGATGGTGAGAGTGTGGTAGTAGTGTGAGAGTAAAGGAAAAATATAAAGTGAAGTTTTCTTGGGGCTCCTGGCTGGCTCAGTCCGTAGAGCATGTGACTTTTTTTTTTTTTAAGAGCATGCGACTCTTGATCTCAGGGTCCTGAGTTCAAGCCCCATGTTGTTTGTAAAGCTTACTTTAAAAGAAAGAAAATTTTTTTAAAAAACAGGTTTTCTTCACAGGTGGAAAAATTTAGAGTTCTAAAACTTAGAGTTCATATAGGGCTGCCTATCTAAAACTTAGTACTCTAAAAAGAGTACGAGAATATTAGAGAATACTTGATCTAAGGTCCAAGGCTTAAACTAAAGTCTCATAGAGTTGTGTTGTACAATACATGACACTACTTCAACTGACAAAAACTAAATGTGGTTTTCCATGTCAGTATTTAGTGACTACCATAGTGGACAGCTCAGAACATTTCGACCAATGTGGGAAGTTTCACTATACACTGATGTTCTAGAGCACGGGTTGACAAACTTGGTGTGAAAGGCCAGATAATATTTTAGGTTTGTACACCATATAGTCTCTTGTAGCTACTCAATTCTGCATTTGCAGTATGAAAGCAGCCATAGGCATAAATAGTGTGTCAGCAAATGAGCATTGCTGTGTTCCAATAAAACTTTATTAATGGACACTGAAATTGGAATTTTGTAAAGTTTTCAGTGTTATAACTGAAAAATTTCCCCCAATCATTCTAAGCTTGAGGGCTTTTCAAAAACAGATTGACAGGCCAAAATTGGCCCGTGAGCTAGGGTTTGCCAATCCCTGTTCTAGAAAATTAAATTCAGGCCTTGAGATTTGACAGCTCATTTAGTGACAGGTTCAGGGCCAAGACCAACATGTCTCTGAAGAATTCCATGTTATCAGTACCTTTGCCTCACAGCAAGCCTTTTCCATTCTAGCCTTAAACTCTACCTCTTTTAGAGGACTAAGATGACTTTAGTAAATTATCCAGTACTAGAATAGTCCTTTCTTGTGTTTGGAGTTTTTTGTGTACACTCTTTGCGTGGCTTACTTTTATCATAGTGGTTCTCTTCATTTTTAATGTATACCCAAAGGAGAGGTTCTAAGAATAGCAGTCTGATCACAGCTTCAGCCCTAGGTCATGAAATAGAAATGGTCCCTAAGAAAGGAGGAAGACTTTGTCATGACATATTGGTTTAAAATCTGGGATGGTATGCTCCTCTGAGCATACAGATTGCCTTCCTGACTACTCTTAAGGCTACCCACGTGCAGGGAGGGTGCTTCTTTGTTGCTACTTGAAGAAGGATGATTCATTGATACCTGTATTCAATACCCCAGGAGATTTCAGTGGCTTAATCATGCACATTAAAATAATGTAATGGGATTTCCTAGTTGATAGGTGAAGTTAGTCAGTCACCTACTACTCCCTGTTGACTTGATTTTTTTTTTTTAATCTCCTGGTGAGGAAATAAAAGAAGATGAAGTAAAACATTTTAAAGTAACTATTTAGCCCCAACCTGCCACCTCCTATTGTAGGTAGCAATTAGTAGACACAGTGACCCTCTTCATTGTCCTGCTCAAGTTTCAAGGCTCAGTCCTATGCCATACTAAGAGGAAAAACTAAAGCAGGATGGGTAGGGAGACACAAGTATTGAGTAGACCATCCCTGGTGCCTATCGGTAATTTACTTCCCTTCCTTCAGGGTTGAAACTGCTATCAGTGGAGTTTTGCATTAAAATTGTGGATCATGTCTCAAATTGTAATCAGGAAAATAAAAATAAAACCCCAGAGAAATAAATTGTGCAGGCCCCAAAGGGACACAAAGGTGGATCACTGCCTGGGAATTCACACAAAAGAAAACAATCCCTTAAGAGCAACTAATTAAGTACTTAAAAGAGTGACAATGACTCCTTGAATCTTGTTGCCTAATTAGGGCTTTATGAACAGCTCCAGTTAACGGACCTGTCAATATTCTCTTGGAAAACAATTTCACTGAATTAACAAATCAACTGTAATACTTAGAATGTCTGCTTAGCAATTCTTTCTCTTTACTGCTATTTAGAAACAATAAGCCAGCTTGCTGGGTCTTATATTTGTCAGTTTAGTATCCTAAGGTCTGGCTCTAAGAAGCCTGTTACTTTGGCCCTCCCTATTCTCCAGTAAAGGCCCTTTAGAGTATGAGACTATTCTGTACTACTTGTTAAGGGTGACTTAACTACTACCTCAGAAAAGGCTGATAAAATGGACCTTGAAATTTTATTTTAGAATAATTGTAGATTTACAGAAAATTTGTGAAGATAGTACAAAGAATTCCCATGTACCCTACACTCAGTTTCCTCTAATAACATTTTACATTGGTATAGTTCATTTGTCATAATTAGTGGGCTAATATAGATACATTACTATTACCTAAGTCCATACTTTATTCACATTTCCTTAGTTTTTACTTAATGTCCTTTGTTCTAAGATCTCATTGAGGATATCACATTTAGTTATATCTCCTTGGGCTCCTTTTAAAAATTATTATTTATTTATTTTTTTAAGATTTTATTCTGGAGTAACCTCTATACCCAGCATGGGGCTCAAACTTAAAACTCTGAGATCAAGTCACATACTTTACCAACTGAGCCAGCCAGGCGCCCCTCCTTAGGTTCCTTTTAGCTATGACAGCTTCTTAGACTTGCTTATTTTTGATGACCTTGAATTTGAGTCCCTCAGTTAGGATTGAGTTTTTCTCATGATTAAGCTGGGCTTAAGGGATTTTGAGAGGAAGACCATAGAGGTAAATTTCCATTCTCTTTATCAAGGTGACTTATTAGTGTTGCTGTTAACCTTGATCAGCTGGCTGAGGTTTGTCTTGCCAAATTTCTCCACTGTAGAGTTACTCTCCCTGACCCAATTCTGTGTGCTTTGGAATGAAATCACTGTGTGCAACAAACAGTTAAAAAGACAGGAGTCGTGCTCTCTTTGAAGGTGGAATATCTATGTAGGTTGCTTGGAATTCTTAAGAAATAAATTGACCTCTCATTCAATTTATTTATACCACTATAAACCCATGGCTATTTCTGTTATGCTTTGGGAAGTAATCCAGTAATACTTTATTTTGTTCAGTGTTCCAGCTTTGGCCTTTGGGAGAGCTCTTTGTTTGGCTACTGTATACCTTCAGTATGCCTCCATCATTGTGGGGTTTTGGTTTTTAAGCACTTCTCACTTTATGGCACTATTAAGATGCTCCATGCTCATCTTGTATCTTTCCTGTCTCCGTGTCAAACATTTGTCCAGGGACCCCTGGTTCCTTTACTGGTGAATGGCATTACGAAACAAGATCTGGGCACTAGATATGCTCTTGATACTGAGGTGCTGTTGCTTCTAGGCCCTGTCTGCTGGTAGAACAATGAACTGTATAACCAGGATCTTTACTTCACTGTCCCCCGTATTGTGTAAACATTTCATTTTTAATATTCAACACCTTTTATTCTATAGTCGTTTATTCTCCCTCATCTAGAATAATGGTTGACCTTGTTTTCTTTTATAGCAGATGCAAAAGTTGATTCTTCTTACCCTATGAGCTCACGGTGGAGGATGGGACTTGTTGTTGTTGTTGTTGTTGTTGTTTTAATCTTGTAGAAGGGAGGAGCCAAGCCCTTGTTCTGGTGTCAGAATGGGTTGGAGGGTGGAGATGCCCTCAAAGGCATAAAGCTTCTGAGTTAGAATCTGGACTTCACCAGAGTGGCAGCTAGTAGAACTCTCTCTCCTTCTCCTCAGTTGTAATACTCTGGAGAACTCCAGAGGCTACGTAAGGTTGCAAGATGTTGGCCACCCTGCCAATGAAAGATGTAAGGCAATGAGCAGGAGGGGAAAAGGCATAATGGAAAAGTTCTGCCCTAGCCTCTACTACCCCTACTCTCATTGCACTCTGCCCTTTTCTGCACTAGGCTTCCATTTCTTGCCCTTCTATAGTAGGACCCAATCATGATCAGTTCCTCCAAGAACTCATCATATTTAATTTTTCAGATCTCTGACTTACTTCTTGTTTGTGTAATCTCCAGGGCTGCGTTAGAGGAAGACAATGACCTATGCAATCACACATCTTATCAGAAGACTGTCATTTAACTCACC